CCGCCGCCGCGCCCCCGCCCCCTTGTGACACCGCGTACCAATCGCTCGCCGACACTCACGTCGCCCTCCAATCAGCGAGGAGGAGGCCAGGGGGCGGGGCCTTTCCGCCGGACGCCAGCGGTTGCTCGGGAGCCCGGGCTTCCTTCGCGTTCGGTGGTGGTTGTCGGTTAAGAGAGGCCCGGATGTTAATCTTTTATTACTAACAGTGGCCACCTGACTAGGGCCGAAGCGGGCAGCCTGGAGACCAGTCGCACAGACTTCTGGGAACGGTGGGGTTGGCCTCTGGCCGGACGAATGTGTGGACAGCACCTTCACTGAGACCAACCTAAGGTGCTCACAGAGGTGCCAGCGTGCTGGGGAAGAGTCCCAGTCGATGGCCTTCCCAGGGCGTGTGCATTTCCAGTGCAGTCCGGGCCGGCCAGCCTGAAGCCGACCACCCTTCCTGCTCTTCCCTAACGTTTCTGGCCACACCGACCTCATCTGAAATATTGGGCCATTGCCATGCCTGGTTGAAAAAAAGGGCGAAAGCAGACAAGCTCTATAGGTCCTACCCATTTATCCCTCTTCCAATGTACTGAGAATTGATGAGTTGAAACTGAGCGGGTAAAACCCCAGACTCGGGTATGCCCATCCACTTTTTAATTTTTTTTGCTCTAATTCGCAAACTGCCGAGCTTGGGTGTACACCGTAACAGACAACACACACCTTCCAGCCTGACGTGTACCCCACTGCTGCTTTTCTCTTTCCCACAGGCAATCTAAATCCAACACTTAAGGATTTCCAAACTAACTTGCCTACTACACCACTAGGTGAATTACTTAACTGATAATGAACAGTCACCTCACTGCAGCTTAATTCACCCTCATCTGTGACTCGGAGAAACCGGTCTAAAATGAACTCTAACACCTAATGTCCATCACCTGTCCTTTCTCTTGCTTCTATGAGACCCCCACCCACCAACTTATCTCCATGATTCAAAAAACTAGCACACACTGGGGTTTATGAGGCAGCCCTGGGCTTTCATTCATCTTCAGGCTCTGTCGCCCCTGGCTCCTTCTTAAACTCTAACATAGAATAGATTGGAGCCCTTGAAGGACAGAGAGATGATTATCTTTGTATATCATACTCAAAATAGTGCCCGAGGATGGAATGAATCTTACTGAAATCAAAACCTTAGTTTCTAAAGCTGCCTCCCCTCTTAAGAAGAACTGAGAGAATGAATTTTGGAGTCAGGCAGATGAACTTAAAACCCTGCGTTCCAAAACAGGAAGCTCTGCCCTGGCCAAATCATTCATTCTTGTTAGCATCCACCATTTTTCAAGTGCCAGATAAAACAACTTGACTACACTCTAAGTGGGAGAACCAGATTTAAATCTAAGTCTCAATACAAAAATCCAAATTTGTTCCACTATTCTTCTCTGCTTCCAAATTTTAGCCTCATCTGTGGAGTGAGGACATTACCTATCTGGTAGTTATTGTTACTGAATAAAATAACAGGAAAAGTGCCTACCTTGATCGGACCAGTGAGTGTTAGGTTCCTTCCCCCTTTCAAGCCTCTCAAAATAGCAATTTGCATATTTTCTAACTCTACTGTCTCCTGAATTCCCTGGAATGATGGATGAGCAGATCTGATCGTTCCAAAAGAAAAACATGTTTAACAAATGCTTACTAAGTCAGATCCCACACTGGGCTCAGACACAGAACCGGAAACCCTGCACACAAGTAACCTAAGGGATGGAAGAAGGGTGTACAAAAGGGATGGGGAAAAGGAACTGGCAACTACTAAGCACCCTCTTCTGCTAATGGGTCATTCTCATAGCAGAGCAGGGCAAACAGCTGTACAAAACCTTTGAATATGAGTAATTCCCAATTCAATCTTAGAAGTACCCAAGGAAGAAGTCAGTGGCTTCAGAACTGCTGAAGCCAACTGGGACGTCTACAAGATTGTGCCATGGTTATAGACTGAATGCTCATGACCAAGATGGCACAGAAGAACAGACTAGCCGGTGCAGGGGGGGGGGGCAGCCAACCACAATCTACGACAGTTACAGAACATTCCCATCAATACAGATATCTCTGGAACCGTGCTGCTCTAGAACTGACATTTCTATCCTCAGCACTTCTCCCCACCATTATCTGGCTTCATTCTGCTTCTTTCACAAAATGATGCTAAGCTCCAAGGAATGGAAATGAATGCCTCAGGGCTAGGGTCAGCAAATTGTTTCTGTAAAGAGCCACATAGAAAATATCTTAGACTTTGTGGCCCATCCAGTCTCTGCTGTAACTACTCGATTCTGGCATTGCAGGTAGGGTGAAAACAGCCAAAGACAATATGTAAATGAATGGGTACAGTTGCCTTCCAATAAAACTTTATTTACAAAGACAAACAGTAGAGGGCCATAGTTTGCCAAACCTTGCTTTAGTGGACCTGTACAGACATCTTCAGAATTCAGTGGAATGAGAAGAAATCTCTCCAACTGCAAAGACTCATGAAGTATATAATCTTTCATCCTCTTCCTCTATCAAGTGCCCAGGCTCTGACTAAGCTAGGGCTCCCATACAAGTACATGTAGGGAAGACTCCTGGTCATCTGTTTGGCATTTGCTACCTCTGAGAGTCCCTGCCCACCCATGAAAGGCATAAATAGGTTTCTTCTCTAATATGCCTTAAATTATAGCCCTACCAAGGGTTAACAAATCAAAATATGGTTAAAAAAAACAGTAACAAAACACTGTGAAACATTTATTTTTGTTTTGCAGTATTAAGCATGATTAAAACTAGTACAGAAAAATACTAAGTAAGTTGGGTAACTGTTTCAGTATTTGCTTTTTATAATCCAGTTAAGACAATGAGCACTCAAGACAGCATCATTAACTCAAGGATGTAGCTGAAAGATACCCTGTACACGTTACTGGCCTCCAAAGGCATTCAAGGGATCATCAAATATGCTGGACCCCTTCTGTTCAGATCTTGGTCCAGGTACTGTCTGTGAAGATCGACTTTTTGGTTTGGTTGTCTTAGCCTGGATACCAGAGGAGAAGATATCATCTTTAAAAAGGAAAAACAAAAACAAAAAGAGTTGCTGAATAGGCAAGAAAATGTGTGCTTTCAAGACACATCTGCACGAACCAGCAAAGACTCAAGTCTGGTAATAGTATGGGATACCAAAGAACACTATGATCAAGCCAAGCCTCTTAGATTCTGGTCCTGCCTCCGCTACTACGTTTTATGATCACATACAAGTCACAGTTTCTCTCTGAGCATAATTTCACAGCTACAAAGCTATGTGTGTACACGTGTATGAGACAAAAAGGGGAAGGATAACTGATTCTCCAATCGAGCCCCTGACTTCATCTGTGACACTATACTTATTTGTACATTCTTTTCCCGCTGGATTTTAACAGGAAAGGGCACTAAAAATAAGCAAGGGGAAATCCCACACAGGTCACTGTCTTTCAGAATAAATGTACCTATTTGAGGCATCTCAATGTTAGGAATGTAAGTCTTTATGACTACACTTGTGTTCAGTGTTTCACTGACCCCAGTGTCCCATGACTCATCTTAGTAATGACAGTAACCCAGTCATGTTACTGCTGGGATTCTATCCTATAGAGATTTTAGCACGTGTACATAAAGATATACAAATGTTCAAGACCATAGCATCCTTTGTAACAGATAAGACACAATCTAGATCACCCTCAAAAGGCTAATGGCTAAATACAAAGCACTTTACCACTACTAAAGACAAGGAAGTAGATCTCTATGTACTGACATGGGAAGACACTGCGACCAAAAGGAATAGCAGAACAGTAAAGTATATTCTTATTTTTGGGGAAAAAAAATAAGAATATACTTATATGTATGCAAACCCATACTACTATCACTGTGTCTGAAAGTGTACACACCAAACTCTCAATAATTATTACCTCCAGGGGTTGCTTTCTACTTATTACAGTTTCTGAATAGTATTAATTTATTACAACAGACCTGTATCACATTTTTTTTGTAATAAATTCTCTTTTGTACCCTGTGCTGGGAAGCGGG